GACAAAGCAGCACGGTGTGTGGAACAGAGCAGATAATTTAGCCCTTCATAAATTGGGATGGGGGAGGGGGGAATAGCAGCAGATTTTTCCAGGAGGATTTGTTTTAGAGCCTGGTGTCAGGAGAGGCAAGAGCAGCAGTGGAAGGCTCTGCCGATGCTTGGGGTGGCTGGTGCGGAAGTTGATGTGCAGAACCGCGGAGCCASGGCGCAGGGGTCAGACTCGTACACATCAGCCCCGTTTCCTTGTTTAATTACCTGAAGAGCAAAACATCCAGGCTGGGAGTGTGTGAAAACCCAGTATCTCGAACAGCAGTTTGCTGCTCTGACATCCTGCGAGGCCGGCCCCGTCTGTCCGCAAACGTCAGGGCTGGTTCCTGACAGGGGGCTATCTCTACCGGGCCTTGGTTCCTTCCATTCAGGAGGCATTGTGTGGAAGAGGGTTTGGTCAGGAATTTGAGGTTCCTGCCGGTTCTTCCAGCCCGGACAACCCTGTGACAGATAGGCATGATTTTTTTCTTTTAAAGAATAATAATAATAAAGAAAAAAAWTGGCTCTTTTTAGTCTTTCCCTTGTAATTCTGGCATTGGTATAACACCGACTGAAACAAAACATTAACCCTTTGGCTTCTGAATTCACAGGTTTTTTTATTTACTTGATTCTTCCTTCTCTTGCTTGGCCTCTTATTTTCAGAAATCAAATATTCTGAGGAGCATATTTGAGGTGGATTTTGTTCTATGCAGCAGATAAACTTTTGAAATTTTTTTTTGTCGTTATCATTTATATAGTCATCATGCTTGGCACATTCAGTTTGTCATTTTAAGCATGCTTGGCAGCATTATTTTTCTTTGTCCCCTGGATTCAAACCAAGCTAGTGTTTGTTTCTGGCATGGCCCATTAAAACAGCAGTGGAAGCTATCAATGCTTCCATTCTCATTATTCTTGTGATTTTCTTAGATGTCCAGTTTGGTGTTCAATTTTAAAGTGTTGGGATAGGGTCAGTAATTATAATCCTTGTTCCTCATAGCTGGTGTTTGTTGAGGTCATAGACAGGGCTCAGGTTTGAGTCCGTAGATGGAAAGTGTTCATWGGGATGTAAGCTCATGGTTATAGTTGAAAGATACTGTATATTTACATAGGCAAAGGTCTTGGATAGGTGTTTGGATGTTTTGTGTTGGTAGATTTTTTTAAATGTTGGTTTGTTCTGGGTGTCATTTGTTTTGAGGTTT